TATATATATATATATAAAAAGGGGTACATGTTTTGGATGGTTTAATAATTTAATTACCTGTAGCAAAGGAAAAATAAAAGTTTATTAAATTAATAAATACTCCCTTTTGTGCCACCTAAAAATTTGCAGAGAATATGATTTGGTTACATAAAGAATCTGAATGACATTTAGAGTTGTTGTAAATCATAAACAAATATATTTATGTCTTTTCTAGACAGAATTAATGCATACATCCAAGTGCCCACATTGTGTTAGATACTAAAATCCCCTTTTTCCTCCCTCCAAATTAATTTCTGTCCACATGCACACTAAATCTCTTCTCTTCTATTCTCTATCTCTCTCTTTCTTCCTCACTATATAAACCCTTTCTTGGCCCTTGCAGTATTACCCAGCTCCCTTCCCTTGTCTTCACCATTTTTTCTCTCCACCAAATATATATACACACGCACATCAAACGTAAAGAAATCAGATGCATAGGCAGGTCGCCCTCTTGAGGCAGTCGCTTTTTGATCAGGTTTCTCTTCTTTTATATTTCAATCTGGTCCTCGTAAATGTGGCTTGATCTATACATGTACAAATTTTATTAAAACATATGTATATTTATATGTGGATATATATATATATATATATATATATATACGTGAGTGTATATATCACCACCTTCATTTTCTTTAGTTATCTTTAATAATGGAGGACATATGAAAAAAGAATGGCGTTTACATCTGATGCATGCATACGTTCAAACATCAAAGAGATTTTTCTATGAGCATTTAAGTGTTATTGTTCCATGAAATTACTCTCTTTCGAATACCAACTTTTTTTGGGGTGAGAAAACAAAGTTAATTAAAATTTTTAACGAGTCTTATCTCGTCGATTGCTTCATTGCTATTAAAAATAGGTGAAATTTTGATAATGTATTCAATTTTAATATGTGGAGAAAGTGATTTGGTTATTTAGTTAAACATGTTACTATATTTTTATAGTAAAATTAAAAAAGATAATTAGAATATTATATATAGTTGGGTTTTGTAATTTTTTGTATGATTGTTGATTTGAAATAACAAAAACAACTTCATATTTTTTTTACAAAATAAAATAAATAAGACCAATGGACTCACTAAAATTTACTCTAGTTATTAACAACAATTTTATGGGACATTTAAGCTGATTTTGGTATTATGTCATTATATTTTTATAATTTATTTACAATTTATATGTATGTTTGAATTGAAAATCTTTAATTTTACAAAAGTAGATTTGTGTTTTTGTGTGGTGAATGAGGAACTACATAAATATTTAATCTAAATTACAAATAAAATTGATTTGGAGTCAAATAACAAATTTATTTGAATCTTTGTGTTTATAAAGAGTATTTCTGTTTCTTATTTAATTTAATATCATTTAAATTGGAGGAACAATTTATGCAGGGATATCTTGATGAACAATTTATCCAATTGGAGGAACTCCAGGATGATGCAAACCCTAATTTTGTGGAGGAAGTTGTCACATTATACTATCGTGATTCAACTAGACTGATGAATAATATAGAGCAGGCACTGTAAGTCCATTTACATATATCTATACATATATACATATATAAATCTCTCAATTCATCAGTAATTCTGAAACATTTAATATATAGTTACCCATAATAACAAAGGAGAATATATATATATATATATGTAGGATTATGTGTGGAGCTAATATTTTTCTTGTGGATTAATTTCAGAAGGGAAAAGGTTCCTGTTGATTTTCATAAGTTGGATGGTTACATGCAGCAGTTCAAGGGAAGCAGCACAAGGTAATTAAGTTAAATACTTAATTAAAAGTTATATATATATATATATATATATAACTTAATAGATATAATTAATTGGAGAGGGAATCGTAAAGTATATTCTGGAAAATTTATCATCTAAAACTTACTGGTTGCAGCATTGGTGCCAAAAAGGTGAAAGCTGAGTGCACACAGTTTAGAGAATATTGCAGGGCTGCTAATGGAGATGGGTGAGTTTTTATCCTCCACCTGGACGGTCCACACCGGTTTTAGGTCACTGTGCTTATCACCATAATATTCCCTCCTCTCTTTTTTATTTTATTTTTTTTAAAAAAAATATATATACTTACTTGCCGGTAACCATAATTTTTTAACAAAGGATGGAATTAAAGTTAACTATGGTATACTTTAATTATATTGTGAAAATACTAGTTATTTAGTAAAATAATTATATGAATATAATTTAATAAATTAAAATATCATACTTAATTAGTTGATTGTAGCTAGCTAGGGTATATGCATGCACCCACTATTTTATGCAAATATTTGTATATTAATTAGTTTATTTCTGTACTATAGTAAATATAGAATATCTTTTATTGAACAAATTTTTTAATTGTATATATATATATATATATGTATATATGTGTGTGTGTGTATGTATTTTTTGCATGAGGGCAAAGCAGATGCTTGAAGAGCTTCCAACAATTGAAAAAAGAACATGCAACACTCAGAAAGAAACTTGAAGCATATTTTCAGGTGCCACTACGTACACAGTTTTCATTTTTTTTTACCTTTTAATGATTTGTTCTTATTAATTATTCTAATCACTCGAAGGAAATTCATATTCGTTGATTCAGTTGGCAAGACAAGCTGGACCGAAGGAGACTGCTTGTAGGCGCAAATAGAAAGTAGTGAAATGAGAATGGTGCAATTAACAATATAAAATAGCAAAAGTAATGGGTGAATCTACTACTCTATATACATATATATATATATATATATATATATATATATACATATAGAGTTAGTACATGGTGTATCTGTACAAATTCCGTCCTAAAAGAAAAAAAAGTCACTCTCTCTTATTTTCCCTTTTGTAAGGGTAAGTCATCAGAGGTTCTTAATGGGTTGGGGTTTATTTTGTTTCCCGTTGATTCAATAAAACAAGAAATGAAAGCATTAGAAAAAATAAAAGAGGATGTCAAATTTTGAATCTATTGCCATCACTCTCGTTAAAAGAATTTAATTATTATAATTATCAAAAATATAATAAATTATATTGAAACTTTACATAACTTATATATCACCAACCCATTATAAAAAAAAAAAAAACTTTTTATTTGACCAAATAAAATAAAAGTTCTTGCACAAATTCAATTTGATTAGTATTTAATAATAAGCATTTAGCTATCTGGTGTATTCTTAATAATACCTAATTACATAATTATAATATTTAAGTAATGCTAAATACTATTTGATTATATAAATAATATACGTAACTACTGTTATTTAACAACCTAATACATTTTAATACATTATCCATTATTACATCCCTACTTTAACAACTCAAGTGAGTACTACTTGCAAATTTCCAAGTGTGCTCAACTTGGTATGTATATTATATCTACCATTACATGCATAGTTACTTAATATCTTATGTAGTAATGTTATATCTTATCTAATTATCCAAGCATCATATGCATAACGACCTGTGCACCCCTGGAGTTACTATCTAATATTTTCTAACATATAAACATTATTCATTAGAATATATTAACATAAATTTTGATTTATAAGTACATTATTGAGCTCAAATCTAAAATTAGTACACAACTATGCACCCCTGGAGTTACTATCTAATATTTTCTAACATATAAACATTATTCATTAGAATATATTAATATAAATTTTGATTTATAAGTACATTATTGAGCTCAAATCTAAAATTAGTATGCAACTATTATATACACTGAAAATAAAAATTTTAATTAATTTAGTTGTTACTATGATAAAATAGGAAAACATTAGCATTCAAGATTTTGAATACCTTACAAGGGACCCAAGAAGTATTTCAATCACGGGCTCGTAAACTACATATAGTTTAAGAAAGATGTTAATGCTTGTACACTTAAATTAAAGATTAATATCTTATTAACAACTAAGGTTACTTAGCGAACTTTCACTTAAAATGAAATTATTATATCATAATTATACATTTTTTACAATACATATACAAAATATTATACAAAAAGTGAACAACATAAATCCCTAATTTAGTCGTTAATCATGTATAAAATCAATTGTATAAATTATTTAGCTTCACTAGAAAATATCTAAAAAAAAAAAAATGTTTAAAACTTCATAAAGTAAATGATAAAAGAATAAATGTTTCCCTAAGCATTTGATGAAGAAGGACACTCCACCTCTATAGGCTCCGCTTACTATTTCTCCTAAGGCAACCTACTTATTAATTTTCTTGGTATGATCTTTTTCTACCTCTTCATCAACATACCTTTCTATGTTCTCGATAATGTTTGGCATCTTCATGCCACTCAACATTGGCCGCACACATCAATCAATACAATGTTGGATAGTATCAAGTACTCAACCCCATTGTCCATAGCCTTTAATGAATTTGTTAGAATTTTATAAGGTCAATTTGTGCACTCAACTTTTCTTGTCATCCCACATGGTTCAATTATTTTTGTGACCTTTTTTTTTTTTCCTCTCAAACCTTCTTTACTCATTCAGATCTCTTTATACGTTTAGATTTATATTCATACTATACTAGTCTCTATCTTTTGGATTATTAAATTTTATTTGTTTGAATTCCTTGGTGTCTTACTTTTTTCGTACCTCGTTTTTTGTTTCATCAATAAAATTAAATTTTTATGATTTTAACATTTCTTATATGTTAGGTAATTTTTTAATTTTTTTGATGGGTTATAAAGTAAACTCACACACTCACACACACACATATATATACAGGTTATAGTTCTCAATGTAAACAAAATTTTTACTCTTTTCCTATCATCTCAGAGTACATTTAAAAATTTTCTCAAAATAATTAGACATGGAGGATCATTGATCTTGATCTTCTTCTTCACAATAAATTCAGGTATTATTTGAATTTATTTTATAATTTTATGAGATAACATGAGATCTTATACATGTTTTTGATTAAACTTTTATCGGATATTAATTTTTTGATCAAGTAAATATTAGATCAACTCATATCAGATCTATTAAATTTTATATTTTTCCTTATTGGAGGCTAATTTTTTTATATGTATGAAAACACTATTTATTTATGTATATAGGCATGTATGTGTGTGTGTGTGTGTGTGTATATATATGTACAAATTTTTGTATACGTATTGTTTTGTTCCTTTATGGAATTAAGAAATAACAGGAAAGAGTTGTTGTATATATACATATAATCTTGTTTTGATGCCATATATATGTAAAAGAATGTACATATATGCATG